GTTTCCTAAGCTAGATTAAAGCCTCAAACTGGCCTAATACTGGTTAGTATTATTTTGTCTATTTTGTCCAAGGTAAAAAGCGAAACATTAACATTCATTTTGATATTTAATTTACATTTATTATTATTATTATTATTATTGTAACTTTGTCACATTTTAAGGAAAGTACATTAACAATAACAATAGAGAAAAATGTTTGTACCTCCATGTACAAGTAAAGTAACAGCCTCTTTGTTTATATGCTCTGTTTTTTTTTTTATAAAAAATTAAAGGTACGACAATAAATTTTTTTTCCATTGAGAAACCCCAAGACTTTTTTTTTTTTTTTCTGAAAAATTTGGCCGAATACCTCAAGCGTGAGACGGAAATGTTACGCCCCTCACCATACTGTTGATGCCGTGTCCCGGCCGGAGCGACGAGACAAAAATAAAACCCATTATAAACTAGGCATTTGTTGCATCCAGTGGGGACATAATTACTGATTTGACTTATACAGATAATGACTTGTACTGTCTTTTTACGCGTTGCGTTGCATTGCATCGCGCCGCGTAAACGTAAAACCCTGTCTGCATTTGTGATCAGAGAAATGACAAACAAGTGCTACTCTACACTGCCCAAAACTCGCGTTTGAATCATCAGTGGCAAATCCTTTAAATGAAAACTTACTTACGGGAGTCAGAACTGCCGGCATTTTAGTCTAAGTTTACTCTCCCAGGATCAGTAAACAGTCCTCCATAAAATGTGCTGCAAGCTGGCCAATCAGAGTACACCTCGTTTTTCAGAACGACGAGCTTTGTAAAAAATCGACGCATTTCAGAAAGGCGGGGCATAGAGGAGCAACAATAATGTACAGTATGCGGAAAATATTTTTTGAACCTTAAACTACATAAACACATTGCATTACACCAAATACACAAAATAATGTTCTTTTTAGCCACATCATATGACCCCTTTAAGTGATTTGCCTCCAGCAAAAAAAAAAAATTGATTAATATTTGGTCATTCTAAAATTCATAGTATAAATGTTCAAAATACCTAGCTTTGGGGTAAGAGGTATCTTTTTAATAATTTAACTTAGTATTTTAAAAGATTAACTTTGAGTTAGTGGATGGCAGTTCAAAAACACATTATTTTCCACATACCGTACATTATTGTTGCTCCTCTCTGCTCCGCCTTTCTGAAACATGCCGATTTTTACAAAACTCATTGTTCTGAAAAGCGCCATCTATCCAGTGCGCTGTGATTAGCCGAATACCTGAAGCGTGTGACTGAAATGTTACTCCCTTTACCATATTTGGAATATTAGCTTCCATTGCGGCGGCGGCAGCAACAATACTACAGCGAGAATAAATGGTACACCTTTGTGTATACATTTGGGCGGTGTTATGCAAATCTTCCCACACAGTGATACAGATTTGTTTGAATGAGGCATTTTAGGAAGGTGTGGATGAGTCTTAACTTTTAGAAAAAAAAATACCTCTTTGGGTTTGAGACTTAAATCTTTGCGACTTTACGGATCTTATATATGTACGAACAGCTTGTAACACTCCAAAGACAAAGGAAAACATGAAATTGCGTCATATGACCCCTTTAATTACCAGCAAGTAACAAAGAACTCGTTCTGTAGCGCTGTGGTTCAGCCATACAGATGATCAGGCTTTAGAGCTTCTGGCCTCTTGACTGCTGAGCTGCTGCAGGAACGTAAAGCAGATTGTAGTGACAGTGTGTCATGAACATGCTGCTTTACAGGTTCTAATCCCTCCCTTTCAGGCCTCTAAGTAAAGCTAGAGTCATGTCTGATTTGGACTGATATGGGATATCACTGAAGCATCAGTTTTGTTTTGTTTTTTTTTGTATGTTTTTAATCTAATATGGTCAATAAAGCTAAAGCTTTTAAACTTTCAACAGACATACAGAAGAGAAGGCAACGACTTGTCCATGACCCATAAGATCGGCCTTGTTGAAGCACTTTGTGGTTTCCATTTCACATTGAAACACTTAGATGGTAGACAGATTGTGGTGAAATACCCAGCTGGCAAAGTCATTGAGCCAGGTGAGTCCACTTGACATGAGTTTTGTAGTGTCTGAGTTTGAAGTGATTTGTTACATGCTCTAAAAAATGGTGTTGTCCCTTTACAGGTTCAGTCAGAGTTGTCAGAGGGGAAGGCATGCCACAGTACCGTAACCCCTTCGAGAAGGGTGACCTGTTCATCAAGTTTGATGTGCAGTTCCCAGAAAACAATTGGTTAAGCCCAGAGAAGCTGTCGGTAAGATAAACAGTACATTTGAAGTTATTGAAGAATATTATAAGAATGTTATACATGCACTACTGTTCAAAATGTTGGGATTATTATTATTATTAGGGCTGGTGATTTAATGTGTTAATTAGATTAATTAATTACTGAAAAAAATAACGTGTTAAAATTAACGCGTTTAAAGGGTTAGTTCACCCAAAAATGAAAATTCTGTCATTAATTACTCACCCTAGTGTTGTTCCAAACCCGTGAGACCTCAGTTCATCTTCGGAACACAATTTAAGATATTTTTGATGAAATCTGAGAAAACAAAAATAACGACTTTATTCCACATTTTCGTCTCTACTGTGTCACTTGTGGATGCGCGTTCACGACAGTATCATGACGCGAGCGTGTGGCAGCGCTGACCCAGATCCGACGTAATGATGTCATCGAATAAAGTCGTTATTTTTGTTTTCTTGGTGCAAAAAAGTATTCTCGTAGCTTCGTAACTTTACAGTTGAACCACTGATGTCACACGGACTACTTGATCGATCATCAAGTCGATCATCTTGGTACTTTTCTGGACCTTGAACATGGTAGTTAACTTGCTGTCTATGGGAGGGTCAGAGAGCCCTCAGATTTCATCAAAAATATCTTAAATTGTGTTCCGAAGATGAACGAAGGTCTTACGGGTTTGGAACAACATGAGGGTAAGTAATTAATGACAGAATTTTCATTTTTGGGTGAACTAACCCTTTAAACTG